ATAAAAAGAGGGGGCAACCCGCGTGAGTCAGCCGTCCTTGGCATTATTAGGTAGGAAGGTCCTGACCCCTGATTATCATCTATGGTCACCGGCTTATCTCAGCTAAGAGTGTTCAGTAATGAGGCTGAGGGCAGAACGCGCCGATCCAACCTTCTTTTCTTTCGCTTCCAAGATGCTGACAAAGAAACTTGGGCTCAATCGGAAAAAGCTGTCCTGGAATAAAATAGGGACAACTAAACAACGAAGTCATGTACGTGTCTTCAGTGCAATCACATGCCAATCGTATAGATATCGTAAAGTTGTCGCAAAGGTAAAAGCTTCACTTGTCCTCCATCTTCACGGGAAGTGGACAGGCCTAAAATTTTTCAGTACGGTTCGTTCATCTGCATATTCGGATTATTACCTAATAGCATTCATATGGTGCATAAACAACCAGTTGTGTCGCTGCCTCTTTTCTTTGCGTGCGAAAAGAAGAAGGTTTAAAAATACATATAATCGCAGAATAACGAAGGTTCATGTAAAGCCAATACAATATTCCATCAACGTATATGCCAATAAATATTGTCTTTTCTAGATGCGAATGTTACCAGCGTTGGCGTTCCTGCCACTTGCCGAGCTTCCATGATGTCATTGACGAGCTTCTCGAGGTCCTTCCTAGTGGGGCCACCGATCTGGCCATGTACTTCGAAGACACCTACGAAGGCGCAATGGAGTTCAGACAGCCATGATCCCACCAAGCTTATGGCCCGTACACGATGTCGTGCAGCAAGATATGCCACGCACGAACAACGCTGTCAACGCCTGGCATCGAGCAGGTGCGTTACAGTTGCTTTGGTCCTCGCTGTTTTAATATGCTAGAGTCCGTATTTTCCGTTCTATTTTATGCTAATCTGCACTTTTTTTGTTTGTTTTTTTTTGTTTCTTGCTGCAGTTCAACGTCGACTGCTGTCTTCGCAAAATCTGGGCCTTCCTAAGATGTCTGAAGGATGAACAAGCACTACAAGAACTGAAGATGGCCCAGCTAGACGCGGGACAACCACCTCGGCGTCTTGCTCAGCAATTTAAAGATGTGAATAGCGCGTATCTAAGCTTCAAAGGAGCACTTCACCGGATCTCCACACTGCACGCTTCGAAATATGGCTAAGAATATCCGGTTTTGAGTTCCACACTGTAACAAATGACAAAGCTCAATGAAATCGGATTTATCATTAGTTCTTTTTAAACCGTGTCGTGGCATCTAGGTATATTTATTTCAATTTCAGCGCCATTTTTTGATCACAGCTGCCAACGCGGTCCGTTAAATATTTTATAGGAATAGACAGAAGTAAGTTCGTAGTTCTACAGTCAAACACCACGCCCTGACACGAGTGTTCCTTGTGACGGTTATTCCAACGTGAAAATTCTTCGTACGAGATGCCCTGTGACGAGTTGGCCTCCTTGACGAGTTCAGCTATGACCAGTTGGCTTGTGACAACCAGGCTTATGACGAGCTCTCCTAGACCCTAAAGGCATGCAAAGGATGCAGAGCCACTACAAATTGTTCATGCCTTTTTTTAGACCGCTTGAGCGAAGGTAATAAAAAAGATTTCAGGTTTTGTTCATTTTTCCAAGTTTAAGAATACATGGACTAAATAAAAACGTTAGTTTATAAAGAATGACACCTTATGTAAAAAACACAGACGACCTTCAAGTACGACATGAATTCCTGGCAGGTACCACCGTGTTGTTTCAAAGTTGTGCGTCGTCGTCCTCGCTGGCATTTTCTTTCTTTTAGCGACACACACAATTCACAGACTGAGGCGAGTGAGCAGCCTGCAATGCGAGTCGTAACCTGCCTCCAACACGCGACGCGTGTTGGAGACGCGCAGTTGGTTCGTGATGCAAGAGTTTGGCAACTGGTTGATTGGGAGTCTGGGACAACTCTCCTAGCTTCCAATTTGCTAGGTTCTCATATGGGGGTCCGCAAAGCCCAGCCTCAGCAATCAAACCCAACCGTAAAAGTTTTTTGGTTTTTTTTTCTAGATTGTGAAGAAACGTTTCAATTTTCGGGTGAGTTTTCTCGTGTATATGTCAATGACAAAAGTCTACTTCACACTATCTCTTAGTTATATCAATTTATTAAATCATTATCGTAATTAACGTATACCTTTCCCTTTCCCTCACCACGAACAGCGTCCTTCATCAACTCCGTCAATCCACAAGGGGTCAACAAAGCATCAATGGTTGAGAATCACTGCTCAAGGCCACAGCGCGTGCAACAGATGCTACAAAACCTAAGTTAGATTCGGTAAGAGTGCAATTCTACACTAAAAGAAGATTACCGATCAGTAGAGAGCTCGTATAACTGGTAAACATGTCGGATGAATAAAATGCGCAAGTTAAATTATTAGCGGCATATAGGTTTAATACACTCCGTGGACATTATAGATAGGTTATATGTGATTTGGAAGATACAAATATTTATTTTTATGTTCAAGGTTTGCACGCGTGCACGAGATACATCAAACTGTCGGGCGCCGAGCAACCTGCTTCTCTCTGGGTCAAAGCTTCCGTCATGTATTCGGTGACGTACTGGAGAAGACGTGGCCTTTCTTCTTCTGTCACAAGTGCTGACAGGTGGCTGTAGCCGATCGCCATTTCTTGAAAAAAAAAAAGGAAGATATGGGTACGATGCTTCAAGCTAATGTTTCCTTTTTGTTTAGGTGCAGAGCATTCATAGGACCAGCTTTTAGCTCTTTTTTGTCCGTGGCATATGTAACCTGGGCGAGCAGACGACGCACTTTGTTGTCTGCTTGCTGCGCCTATCGGTAGACGGCGCCACAGGTAAATCTCGTCGCTAATTTGGTCGTCTGCGAACGCCCAGTTTTAATGAGATATCATTCTTCAACACCGCCCTCCCCCCACTCCCCAATTTCTCGTACCTTTCTGCCTTTCTTCTTTTCGCTTTTCCCTCTAAATTTGACGGAAAGATTGATTTCACGTGACCTAACGTCACGGCACTTGGAGACAAATGTGGGTTCCCTGCTAAATTTAGCGGAAAAATTTACGTCACGTAACCTACGCGCCAATTCAAGTTCCCCGGTAAATTTAGCGGAAAACTTGACGTCACGCGACTTATGCGCCAACTTGGTTTCCCCGCTAAGTTTGGAGGCAAATTGGAATTCATAAAAGAAAGTATTTACTCAAAATTTTCGTCGTCATACTCAAAGTAAGCTGCGTCATGAGTCTCATGACGAACGCTGTCGCCAGACATCCAACAATAGTGTTTTCTGAAGCTACTTTTTGCTCTTTTTTTTATTTCATAGGAAGAGAGGTACGCCTCAAAATTTCATACGGTAAAACTGACCTACTCGGTGCACATTGGTTGTACGTGTGAGCTTTTTATAAGCAAATGCCGATTTTTCGGGCTCGTTTTACAGCGGAAGGTCCGCTTGGTACACACTCACGGCGTGACTCATTAAGTCCTCGCTTCTTGCTTTGAGATTTTTTTCTTTTTTTGCTCTAATTTGCTGGTGCTGCAACCTCATTGGCTGCGACGCGATATTGAGATGTGCGAGAGACCCTGCGTCGTTTCTTAGGTTGCAAGCGACTCTACAGATAAATCCTCAATCCAGATTCCCTCGGTATACGTAAACCTCGAAAATGTAAAGCGCCGTTCACACTCTTACGACCGAGTAAGACCGAGACAGACCAGACCGGTTTTTAAGCCTTTTGCGACTTCTTAGCACCGGATGCGCTGCAGCGGAGCTAGTCCTAAGAAGTCGCAAGAGGCTTAAAAACCTGTCTGGTCTCTCAAGGTCTTACTCGGTCGCAAGGGTGTGAACGGGCCTTAATAGTTCTTACTTATCTTCTCGTCCACAGTGCTACACTCTGGGGGTCGTGGCTGGACGTCGCAACTGATTGGCGAAAGATCGGCGGCCTTTAGGAGATCCTGCATGTAAAGGCCCGTTCACACTCTTGAAATCGAGTACGACCGAGAGAGACCAGACCGGTTTTTAAGCCTCTTGCGACTTCTTAGGACCGGATGCGATGCAGCGGAGCTGGTCCTAAGAGATCGCAAGAGGCTTAAAAACCGGTGTGGTCTCTCTCGGTCTTGCTCGGTCGCAAGAGTGTTTTGAGACAATGGTTTATATAAACGTGAAAAATACTTCGAAACAACCCTTGACCGTTTGTCTAATTAAAAGCAAAATATTTTTCGTGCGATCTTGTTATTTACCATAATCGCAAACCGAAACTGAAACTTGGGCACAGCCGGGCAACATTGTACCCTCAGCGTCAGTTGCATACGCACCCACGTGGAATACAAGGGGTCACGTGATCTACCAGCGAGGGGAAGGGCGAGGAGGGAGGAGGGAGGACGCGGCGGCGAACACGCAACGCAAGCAGCGACCAAGCAGGCTATGCAGGCGGCAACCCAGGCGGCTAGCTGTTGGCACCGGTTGCCACGTTTGTCAGCGAAACCATCCCGTACAACTCTCTCTCCCTCTTTTTGTTTCTCTTGTTCTCGTTCATTTTTTTTTTTTTCTTTGACTCGCCTCTTTGCTTGCTCAGACGTGAAGCGCGTCTGAGCAAGAAAAAAACTGCGTATGCCACAGACGTCAGCCACAACGGAAATACAACGTTGGCTGCGCCGCACGTCGCTATCTCTAGTTTGCGTTTAAAGTTTATTTTCGATCCAGTTATGTCGATTTGCTTGGCAGGGGTTAGCTAAAATGAAATTTTGCAACTGGGACTGGAGTGCTGGCACATCTTTTGTATCTACGTCAAGATAATATATGTTTTGAGAATTTATCTAATTCGCAAAGGCGTTTTAAAAAGTGATTTGCGCAGTGGAAAAAAACAGTTATTAAGAAAAAGGATCTCTGTAAACGTTGCTCCATTTGTAATTGATGGTATAGGTACTCATTTTTTATATCTTTAACTTCAATACATTTAACCATATGTTGGCCAACCTTTTCGGTTGATGA